GCCGCGGCAGCAGAATAGCAACGAGAGCAGAAGTAGAATACGCATTGCAGTTGGGATATGACTGTTGTCAGTATGGCTGGGTTACCAGTGGGGAAGTTATTTACCATGTAGCAGAATACAGAGGCGGATGCTATTGTGGTGGTTTTCCTTTAATTTGCAATGGAGATTTCCAAGATAAAAATAATAATTATGCATCCGTCTACTGCTATAAGCCGTAACAAAATATTTTCAATTAATATTTGGGGAATTCATATACAGCTTAGTATTTTGGATTTGTGATGCCATTGAGTGTTGGCCTACGACCACATTTTTTGCTTTTTGAATTTATGCAGGCTGTTATGTCTTTTGTTTCATATTGCACCTCCATGAAACTGTATCAGCTAGATTCCATTATTTACTGTTTTTCATACAATAATAGGCATACATATTTTAGAATTAAGACAAGACCTTCTTCTTTCATAAGTATGTATTATACATTTAATTTTAAAAGAAGTAAGTAATAACTATTTTTAATTTTAAAGTAATGCATTATCATACATCCTTTGATATAGCTTTATTAATTGTTGTAATATAACAGATTTAGGTCTAAGGTGTGAATATTACATTGGTATGTTTTTTCACTCATACTATACATTCTGCTCATGCAGTGGCGTAGGAGTATTGGAATTTCGGTACGGGCACCTAATAAGGGAGCGAAGTTGAAGCGGAAGGTCTCGATGGTTCTGGTGGGTAAAGCCAACCTCTTTAAGACGCCAAAAGTTTAAAAAAAACAGGAGGGGTAGAAATAAAGTCGAATGATAGAAAAAAGGTCTACCACCGGTAGTTGACGACGCGCAGCGTCAGAAACGATCAGGCCGCATTGGACGTCACGAACATGCTTGCCTTACCGCTTCAGGCCGCATTGGACATGATAGAAACATACAATCACATGAGCTTCAGCTCTGCGAAGTAAACCACATTTGGTAGTAAAATATTGGAGCGTTAGTAGGGTAAGCGACAATTACACCTCTAAAAAAGGAGGCTAGGGAATTAGGATTAAGTGTAATATACGTTAATACAAGAAATTAAGAAACACTTTAAATCATTCGAAAGATTGTGCATTCTGTGATTACATCTATTAATTATCTACATGTACAGTAAATACACGGGCTTTTCGGACTATCAACGTGTTGTTAAAAAGGGTCCTGGCACTGCAGTATTTTTAATCTTTAAATACTGCTTCTTAAATATCTCAAGAATTAATCAATTGTTTATTAGGGTAGGTTCCGGCCCGTTGCCACCTTGGCGCTTTCAACCGTCTATTGCTATATGCCGTAAAAATGTTTTCATTTATTATTTGGATATCACCTTTGCTTGTGATTTTAATCACGCTCTGATAGGTGATGCCAATGCTCAATGATATGAGTGTAGACCTACCATCAATATTTTTTTTTCTAATTTTAAATTTCATCCGTCAATAAGTTACCATTAAAAATATGTAACAACTCTGCAAGAACCTGAATTGTTATAACATGATTGGTGGTTAATAAGACCAAAAAATATATATGTTGTGTTGCCCAGCTCAGCGACCAATCGAAATTTTCCAAAAAAAAAAATCGGTCGGCATTTTTTAAAAATTTTGTTTAATGTTCATCTTTTCACTCAAGTACAAATTCGAGAAATACCACTTCCGAAATCAATATTTAGAACATAAAATCTAAGACAGACACTTGGTTTGTTTTTTTCCCCTCGTCATTACTTTGAATATTTTTTGTTTGGCAAGCTTGCCATTGTACTATTGTGGTATGAGGCCTTAGGACTAGGGTCTTCATAATAGGGACTACAGTTTGAGGTAGGCCTATTACTAAAAACTACTACTAAAAAAATAAAAATTAAAAAAAACAGAAAAAAAAAGAAGAAAAGCGACTTACCGACGATTTCGATTTTTTTTCCACTTAAGGGCAACAGGATATTTTTTGGCCTAAATGGCGATTAATTGCTGTTGGAAATGAAAAATGTAAATGTGAGACTTTTGAAACGAATAGTACACATGTCAGGAAAAATTTTGTCCGGGGCAAAATTTGGTCCGGCGGACTGATTTTGGCCTCATAATTACTTGCCAAATGTAGTCCACATAAGCCAAAATCAGTCCGCTGAAGTTTACTTTGCTGTGCTCAGCACACTTGGAAATCTTACGTCCGCAATAGATTTTGGCGGAAAGAACGAATCCTAAGCTTTTGCAGACTTGCATATATGCTTATCTAGCCAATCACAATGATGTCCATAGCTGAAGCCTGAATTTGCATACATAACCCTATATAACAGTTTAAGATCGGCATGTAGAGTATTTGGGTTTAGTTGATTGATACTGTAGTACTGTAGAGCCTAGAGTGAACATAGAGGAATAACAAAAATACCGGTATGTACACAGATATATACTAGTTGTTATATTTTTAATAGTGTTACAGGATATTTGCTCGTGTAATATAATTGTGCAAGATTTTTGTGTGAGGTACGTTGCTCGAGGTTGAATCATGAATTCATTAGCTAAATAAGTTTTAAAACGGACAGTAATAAGGCTGATATATTTTAATTGTATTTAGCTTAACCGTAATAAGATTAAGGATTATTTTTATGGATAAGACGGTGACGGGTGGAGTAAACAGAGAAAATTTATTTAAGAATGATAATGATGTCGTTGATTCAATGTTTAATAAATTTCGGCAAACTTCAGACTATATATTTGTATTGTATTTGCGTAGAAAACATAGAACAAAAACTAGGCCTTTACAAA